TACAAAAGATCATGTTGAAGACGGAAACGTTGAAGTATATTTTGTACGATCAGAGGATCAATTGGCTCATATTTTCATGGAAGCTTTACCAGACATCACATTAAACAAAATTTTGCAAGGACTTCGAATGATTGATGTTGAATTAGTTCTGATGTCAAATCCTTGAAGTTACGAAAAGATTACTATTCACCAGCGATGCGTAGCGAAATTCGCAATTTTTCGCACATTGGAATTTCACAACGTAATTAGATGCGAGAAGGTGTGATCTTTCACAGGCTAATGCTCTAGGTATTTGTTTATCTTTTTCTTATTTTTGTCTTTAGTTTTTCAAAAACATTCAAAAATCCAAAAGAAAAAATTATTATTTTTGTCTTTGGTTTTTCAAAAATATTCAAAATTCCTAAAAGATTTTTCTTATTTTTGTCGTTAGTTTTTCAAAAACATTCAAACTCAAAAAAGATTTTTCTTATTTTTGTCTTTATTTTTTAATCCATATTTGTTGGCATGTCTATTTTCTTGGGGATCGATTGTTATTCTTTTTCGAATTAGTTAGGTGTCCCTAGAAGCATGTTGTCTAATGTCTCAAATATTCTTTCTTTGTGAAAAGACGTTAATGAAATTTCTTGTTCTAAGGATTTCTTCCCAATAGGTTGTATTAACAAAAACCATCGAGCTACCTATCTCTACTCATTTCAGAGTTTAGAGATTTCTGCTTGGTAAATCTTTCTTAGTAGCGGTACTATATTTATTTTCACCATCTTGGAAACCGATGATATCTTGGGTATATACAAATCTAAACATAGGGTTCCTATCTAAACCTTAAAGAATTGACCGATATTCCAACTATAATTTTTTATTAACTCTTGATCTTTCGTGTCTATACCAACTCGGAGTTAGGTTTCTCAAAAATGGTTTTTATGATCATTTTCATTGTTAACTTGAGAATGTGAAAAACTCGTTCTTATTTTCCAATTTTATATATCTTACACAATGCACACAATGACACATATCCTAAGACATCTCTAGTCTAAAACAACTAGGATGTAGGTGTGCAAAAATTTTACGTTTATGATCTCTTGGTCATTATTACCATGATATTGGTGAAACCCAAAAAATATTTCCTAAAATGAATTGACGGTGAACTTTTTTGTTCTAGAATGAAACAAAATAATTGACTGTTGAAATTCTTATATTTCACAATGTCATATCTTTTAATGGTCAAAATCTCTTAATTTTCGTTTGCAAGGTCTTCATGAGATTAATTGATTCCAGATTAATTTCTTCCCCATAAGATCCAACTTTATTTTTCAAATTTTGATATTTCCATCTGAACATTTTTTTATCTCGATGTTACTTTCCAATCACTATAGCATTTTTGTTGAACATGATCCTGGCTATATTGGTCAATTAAGTTTTCCCTTTCGTATCTTGCCACTTATGTTAAGTTGCTTCTATGATCGGAAATAAGCCTACCCATGAAACCTATGAAAAGATGCATTTCGTAACTTCTTAACAAGTTGACGATCGTAATTCAACGGAAAACTACACAAGAACTGCTTTGTCTCTCTTGGGTATTGAAGGAAGAGAATTGTGCCCGGGATATAACTGCTTTTATATCAAAGATTCTTTCATATCAGTACTTATTCATTTTTTAAATTTGCTTCTATCTTTTAATTTGGTACACTTTTGCACTGAAATCTCTGATTTCTCAAACCTCTGGGTTCTATATTGTGGATAAAATCTCAATGCACTTGTTAAAGACAATATTGGTCCTAATTCCAATAGATACTATTTCAATTTGCGAAAATTAAAGGGTGGATCAGTGATTGCGAAACCGCTGCAAATCGAAAAAGGCATGTTTCTTTTGAATTTTAAAATTCATTGTGTGTATTCAAAGGTCTGACATCATGATGGTTAATCAAAGGCGGTTAAAGTTTGTTACATAATTTTAATGAGGTGGCTATGTTTTATTGGTTTAATACGTTTGGAAATATTGGCATGATTTTTTTTGCTGACATCAGATACGCAAAACATTTAATGTGTGGTGGCAGGTTATCTCTCCCCGATCCTATATACAGTTCAAATTCATATCCCACACCTCTTTCACCGATTAAAAACTCTAATTGTTCATTATCTTTCTACGCTAAAAAACCCTAAACAGTTACCTTTGAAAGACGATTTTTTATTTCAATCTCGTGGTAGCTGTAACATCCGAGTCACCAGGTATTTCCCTTGAATTGTTTAAGTGTTTAAATATGGAAATATTGTGAAAAGGACCATACGCTCGGCGTGCATGGTGTACGCACGGCGTACACGAGCGTGGCGTGAAGCTGGGGGAAGCCTTGCGTACGCTGGGCGTAACTTGTCCAATTGCAAACCCTAAATTTTAGAGTTTGCACCATATATAAAGACATTAACTCCGTCCTAAACCTCATTCCCTTAGCCTCCACTGTCCCTAAAGAGTAGAAATCGAACCCTAGACCTCTTGCATGCTTTGTGAGCTAATTTGGTGCACTTTTGGGTGATTTTTGGTGGTTTTGAAGAGAAAGAAGTTTGAAGAAGGAGCAAGGACTTGAAGAGAGCTTGTAGATCCAGGGGATTAGTACCATTTCTGACTCATTTGAGGTATCAAGCTTCAAACTTGACTATTGCGTTCTTAGTGTTATTTTTGGGGTGTTTTATGGGTTATTTTGACTCCATTGTTGAGGTTTCTTATGTCTTGGTAGTTCTAGACAGTAAGAGTTGTCCTTTTGAGATCTTGGAAGCATTTAGAGTCATAAAAATCAGACCTTGATGGTTAAGCCACAACCATGCAAGTATTTGATGGTCACAAAGTTTGTTTAAGGACTTAAATCATGTTTAAACCCCTATCTATGCATGCAAAGACATAAAGTTTGTAACTTTGTGGATTAGGACGTCTTAAAGGACCCGAATCAATGTTTTGGAGGTTAGGACTTAATGGATTAAGTCACAAAAGGAGTCTTAAGGAAGTTGGCCAGTACGCTGGGCGTACACCCTGGTACGCTGCACGTAGTGGGTCAACATCTCGCTTCTGGTCAAGGCCAGCATACGTTGGGCGTACGTGGCAGGTACATCGCGCGTACATATATACAGAGTGACGAATATGGGTTTTTGGGCCTTAGAAGTTTGGGCCTGGATTGTTGGGCCTCATGGTCTACTGTGGAGTAAGGCCTTTGGGCCTAGAACTGAGATTTATGGTATTGGGCCTTTTGGGCCATAATGGGCCATCAGAAATTATTTATTTTGAGCTAAGAGTATGTTAGGCTTAAGATAAGGTCCATTTGAGGAGTTCGGTCCAATTTAGAAAATTAGGCCATTGGTGGGCTTGGGAAGGCTATCTAGATTTGGGCCTTTCATGTTATGGTGTTGGGCCTTAGGCATTGGCCAAATTAAATCAGGGGTAAAATTGTCATTTTACCCTAAGAAGGATATTATTAGTTTTTGACTAAGTGTTATTGTGGTAATGATAGCTCGGAGAGTCTTCGGAGCAGCTGTTAGAGATTTCTTACCATGAGATTCTGCATTCAGCTTTGCGAGGTGAGTTACCTTCCCGGTAGCAGTGGGTCTAAGGCACGAAGGCTGGCCCACTAGTAGGAGTTTGTAGTTGGATAATTGTCTTTGTGATAATTATCTAGTAATCCACTATCTGTTATGATTTATTTGCTAGTATGCTATGGTATTATGTGATAGTGGTCGGGGGGGGGGGGGGGGGGGGGGTGAAATGCACCCCATATCCGGCCAATAAGACCGCAAGGGTAGGTCAGGCACCCAGATATGCCTGGCAGTATGATTATGTATGCTAATATGTGGTAGGGGTTGGGGTGAAATAGTTCCCATAACCAGTTGAAAGAGACCGAAGGGGTAGGCCAACACCCTGATATGCTAGGCGGTTACCGGTTGAAAGAGACCGAAGGGGTAGGCCAGCACCCAAATATGGTAGGCGGTTACCGGTTGAAAGAGACCGAAGGGGTAGGCCAGCACCCTGATATGCTAGACAGTATGTTATTGTATGGTATGTGGTATGATGGGGGAACTCACTAAGCTTTGTGCTTATGGTTTTCAGTTTTTGTTTTAGGTACTTCTAGCTCGAAGAGGAAAGGGTCGGCTTGATTATATCGCATCACACCATGGATTTTGCGCACTAGTGATTTTGGGATTATGACTCTGATGATGATTTTATATGTATCATGGATTGCACAACTAAACTATTTTATGTTTTCATGGTTTTAGGAAAAATGAACTAGTTTGTTTTATGATTGTTAAACTTAAAAATGAAATTTTCGGATTGTAATTTAAGGGTGTTACAGTAGCTGTTCCGATCTTCCTCATCTTCACTGCTGAATATCAAGTTAAACCAGAATATGGTAGCTGTTCTCGAACCATCGAAGTATTCTCAACTGGTTCAACCTTTGATTTTTTACTTGGATCATTCTATACTGAAGCAAGCTCTAGTTATGGTTGAAGATGTTCCGATCTCTCAATTAACATTGGCATATTCCACTGTTAGTTACAATAAGCAGATGGAGGTTATGAAGATTGAAATTCAAGGTATAAAAATGTCAATTTCTAAGTCAAATTTCTACAAGTTATTAAGGCTTTCAACTGATGAAGATTTGATTGATCCAGACACAATTTCCGCATCGACCATTATTCAAGCATATAAACAAATGGGGTACAAATATGATTTATCCGTTCTTTCTCGATTTAAGAAGTCTTCACTTCCTCCCATTTGGAATGCATTGTTTACGATAATGTTCAAATACTTTTCTGAGAGATCAACTAGGTCTGATAATGCTAGTCGATTATTTCACACTTCGTTATATGGAATTTATTCTGGAGAAAAGATTGATTTTGGAGGTATTTTATGGGATCAGTTTTCTCAAAGTCTTGCTTCATAAAAAAAGGATACTGAAATTTCCTGTGCTTGATTTTGGTCCGTTGTGGTGAAGAATGTTGTAGTTCATTATCATATTCTAGAGATGCAAGATGTTGTTATTACTGCTATTCCCAAGATGCGGACTGCAACATTTATTACTTCTGATCCAAAGAACTTCTTGATGGTGGGTTCACTTTCTCAAGCCATGTTATCTAGGGTTCCTACTGATCATCCTATAATTGTTGAATACTTGAATACTACAGTTTCTACTAAAGATGTTGGATCTAAATCAATTCATGAAGAAGAAAATCCAAAGAAGAAAGGAAAAAGTTCTAAGCGAAGAGGGAAAACAATTGTTTCTAAGAAATCTATAAAGAAAAAGATGCAAAGGGTTCCTCAAGTAGTTGTTGAAGAAGAATAAAGTGAGCATGCTGAAAAGGAGTCTGCTCTCAATCATGAAGATGATTCTGTGAACATTGGGCTGAAATCCACAACTGTTTCGGTGCCAATTCAAACTCCTCACATCTCTTTGCATATGGAATCTAAAGTAGAAAATTTAAAACATGTTGTTGATGATCCTTTTCTCAATATATCTCAAATACCTCCTACTCCACGAATTGTTTCTGCTACTTCTCAATCCATTCCAATTCCAACAAGCACAATTTTACTACTGTTTCTCAGTTTTCAACGAAACTTTTTAAGATTCCTATTTTTACTGAGGCAGCTATTACTTCTGTATCTCAAACCATAACTTTTACAGAACCTCCACTAGAGGCTTCTACTTTTGAATCCCATAGGGAGGAGAATGGAATCTTAGGCATTCCAGGTAACACATCTGATGTGGGGCCAAATGTCAATATTGGTGTGAATTTGTCTCAACCAGAATTTACTTCTACTTCACCTGTCACTGATGATTTTGAAGAATATTTTTTTATGAAAGATGATTCGGAGTCAAATGATGAGTTTGTTGGAACTGATTTTTCATTTCAAGTGGAAAGTGATAATGATGATGATGATGCTCTGATGACTAAAGGTGATTTTCGCAAGCTGAATAAGAAGTTAGATGAAATTTTTTCTTAGCCTTCTACATTCATAAATACGAAGTATGAAGAGCTGATCTCTTCTCATGAAGATATAATTCAGACGCTGGTTCAAGATAATGCTGATAAACTTTCTCAACACAAGAAGCTTGTTGATGATTGTGCTAAACTTGTCAAGGAATCCAGTTCGTAAGTCTCTACGATTCTCACAAAAGTTAATTCTATTGCAGCAAAGCAAGATACTTTAATGAATTCATTTCAGACATCTTTTGATAAAAATGTTGCTGATATGAACAAGGTGATTCTTAGTTTTCAGACTTTATTGCAGAATGAAAAAGAGGCTTTGTCCAAAATTGAAAAAAAGACAATGTTGATCATCACACATCTATTGTAAATTCTATTCTAACTCTACAAACAAGTCAAGCTCATTAAAACAAAATAATGGATGCTTTAGCTTATTCAACAATGAAGATTAAACTTCTTAAGGAACAATTAAAGTTTTCTGCTTTTGTGTCACAACTAGCATTTTTGGCTAGGGAATTCTATCTATGTATGGTCAACTCTTGATGTATCTTGTAACTTTAAGATTGATGCTATACATGTTACTCATTCAAAAACAACTATTTGAATCAAAACTCACTCGTGAAGCCCTAAACCTAATTTAATACATTTCATACACTCAACTTTGGGTTGTAACCCTAATATCCCAATTCAAACTCTTATTGTGCCAGGACCCTCTTATTGGGCCTAATGGGCCAATAAAATCCCAGTTGGATTATTTTGGGTTAAGGAACCTCATTTGGGCCCTAAATGGACCCACATTCATTAAACTATAGCATTTTGGTCCATAAGACTTTTTATGGGCCTTATTGGGCCTAAAATGTATCACTTAATTTTTGTGGGGCTTATTGGGCCAAAAACCACATAATTAATTTTAATGGGCCGAAAACCCATTCCTTTTAAATATTTTAGGCTGTAAACTCATATGTGTGCCCACATGGATCGAAAAACCTCTATTGCGCCAATGCAATATCAAGCCCAAAAGCCATGTTTTTCTTTCTACCCTCCATTCTTGGTTTTTAATATATATAAAAAATAAATAAATAAATAAATAAAAAGAAAACTTATATAATCCAAGACCTTGACACATAATCTTTATCCATAGGTAATCCATGCAATTACCTCACATGTTTCCAAGGTTAAATACACTAAACCTTCATGTAATAACCATTCCATTCTCTCTCTTTCTTCTTCTTCTTATTCTCGGCCAAAGGAGAAAAATCTCCACTCTCCATTCAAACTTCCAAACACACTAAAACACCTCTCTAAATCCTCAAGAATTCTCACTTCTCTGCCAATCTTTCGTGTCTGCTTGTGTGTGTGTTCAAGAATACTTCATCAAGGTTCATCATTTTGGTAAGATACTCTCTATTCAAGTGTTTAACTTCATCACAAGACTAATCTTTCACTCATTAACACTCTAAATCGTGATTCATGCTCTTAGAATCTCCTTGAATTCGAAGATCTCATCAGAGAAGTAAGCTAGGCCGAAAACATCTTCTTCTCACTTCACCAAAACCAATTCATCACCCCAAAGTGAGTTCATACCCTTATTTTTTCGGTTTTTACTATGTTTTGGGGGAGGATACAAGTTGTTTTGTGTTAGATCTATGTGTTTATGTATTTTTATATGTGTTTTCTATGTTATATGTGGTGATTATGTGATGAAACTTCATAAATCTCGAAAACTCTACCAAAACTTGGAGATGTTTGTAAACTAACACACATTATACAACTTATTATGAAGTGAAAGGAGTAAACATGTTGTGGAACACTAGAAAACTAAACAAAACCGTTTAAGGGGCCATTTTTGACAAATAAACAAAAAAGGTGAAGCCTTTAGGACACTCGTGGTTTTTCAAGGACCAAAAGAGACATTTTTAAATAAAAATGGGTCTTAAAGGTATTTATGGTTTTAAAAGGGCAAAAAGTGTTAATTTTCACAAAATAGGCTTAAAGTTGGGCCTTCACGGTTTCATGGGCTTAATTTGTAAAGTTTTGACTTTTGTGGATTAAATTGTCAGTTTAAACAAATTTGAGCCATAAATGTAAATTTTCGAGTAAAAAGGGCTGAAAATGTCAATTTTATTAAAATTGGGCCAAAAGGGTAAATTTTTATACATATGGGCCGCAAATGTCATTTTTCATCAAAGATTGGGCCCAAAATGTTATTTCCAACAAAAGTGTGCTAAAAATGTTATTTTATTTAAAATAAGCCCTTAAATGTAAACTTTTGGTCTTAAGGGACCTAAACTGTCATTTTTACAAAAAAATGTGCCTTTATTGTAAATTTTCGGCTTAATGGGCCAAAAATGTCATCAATACAAAAGTGGGCCTTTTATGTCGTTTTGGTAAAAAATTGAGCTAAAACAAACAAAATAATAACGAGTGGACTAAATACGTCATATTCACTATTATTTGGCCTTAGTGGTCCATTTACATGCTTGTTGGGCCTTTAATATACCTTACATGTTTATTGGGCCTTAGTGGTCCATTTACATGCTTATTGGGCCCAGAATATACCTTACATGTCTATTGGGCCTTAGGGGTCCATTTACATGTTTATTGGGCCTGGAATATACCTTACATGTTTATTGGGCCTTAGTGGTCCATTTACATGCTTATTGGGTCTGGGATATAGCTTACATGTTTATTGGTCCTTAGTGGTCCATTTACATGCTTATTGTGCCTGGAATATACCACATGTCATTGGGCCTTAGTGACCCATTTACATGCTAGATAGGTCTTGTATATTCATTACATGTTTATTGGACCTTATAACCTAAATACATACACGGAGACATTAAATTTGAAACGGTAAACAATGTGATACACTATTCGCGTAAACATAGTTAAGATTCTTGCGAGACACTCTTTCATCCGTACCTACCTAGTGTACAACCTTTAGTTCTGTAGTTATAACCAGACTCTCCTGGAGGGAGAGCGAGACTTTGTGTATAGATCTATACGGGGTTGACAGCCCCACACCTGAGCTGTTCGCTACAACTAGACTAGGCCTGTCTAGGGTGACAAATGTCTTACCTTAAACAAGTCGACGCCGGAAAAACGTCATGACAAGCAATTCCGTAATATCAAGAATGGTTATAATGACTCACATAGAAATTAACTCCACTGTAAAATTTACGGAATACATATATATTTCTGCAGTTACAATACTATACAAACACCATTTTACGGTCTTTGGGTTTTAAGACCACAACACTTTTACAGGTAGAAAATATCGGATTTTCTGGGAAAACTTACAATTATACATTTCCTTCTACTTACAACAGAAAACATGGGAAATCTGGAATACACTCGTTATACATTTTCAAAACAGAAAACACACATGCTTTAATACAAGATTTGATACAAAGCGTTCAAACCATTTATTTCTTTTACAAAAAATATCGAATTTTCTGGTGATTACAAAGTGATACAAACTTTTCGTACAATTATGCTTATGAACTCACCAACATTATATATGTTGACAATTTTCAAAATAACTTGTATTCTGAGGAAATCGTTAAGCAGGTTGGCCTTCAAGAACTCATGGATTTTGATGTATTTTTGCTATCATCGTACATTTAATATTTTGGCATGTAACTTTTGTGAAACAAATACAATGATGTAAAACCCTGGATGTTGTATTATTGAATGTGTGATGATGATGTTGTCTTTGATTCAATTATATACACTATGATGATATTACAAGATGAAGTCACCCAACCCCCGGACGTTTCCGCCGTTTCTTCGGTTCGGGGGTGTGACAGATTGGTTTTAGAGCAATGTTTATAGTGAATTGGCATATCTAATCATACAAGATATGCAACTATAAATACATTGTGACTAAAATACTCTTAACAAAAATAAAATACATACCTATGTGTGCATTATTAAAATAACAATAAAAGTCTTTGGAGGAATTGAACATCGTGGTTAAACCCGGACAGTTATGTAGTCGTATTGGGGATAAATATGGCCTGATCAACTATATTTATTCAAAATACGACCAACATGCCTTTGAGAGTGATCATGGTGGGCAATCAATCTAGAAACTTACCAACCTTATATCCAAAAAGTTTTAAGGAAGTCAAACATAAACAATTAAAATACTATAGGAGTATTTTAAAATGCTATCAACATACACCCCCTTACATACTTCTCACACCTCCAATTCTTGCGCAGTTATCGTTTGAAAATCTTCCTCTGTATTTATGGGCTGACATTGTTGCAACTGCTTGTTTTACTCAAAATCGCTCTTATATTAATAAAAGTTTTCAAATCACTCCTTATGAAATCCTAAACAATCGAAAGCCTA